CTGTGGTCACACAAGCCACCCAGGTTCTCATGTCCCTTAACTGCTGTCACAAGATGGTACTTCCTTATTTCAGAAATGTTTCAACAAATGAATGTTCCGGAAGGAGTGACTACATTTACCCTAAAGGATGCCAATGTCAGACCGCTGAGATCGGTAAGAAACCGAAATACAACTCTTCCTTGCTCGTTTGTCTTCCTTCCCTTTGCCTCAAATACAGGACCTCACATAGATTCCCAATCCTGCCTGTACGAACGACCAGTGTGAAATTAACCCAGAGAACAGCAGCTTCTCTCACAGGACTCACACCTTAGGCTGTGCCTGGCCCCACACTTCCCTGCATCTGGGCCCACATCAATTCCTAGAGGGTCCAAATGACAGAAAGCAGCACTTGCTTAGGCTGGCTGTTCATGTTCTCATTCTTTCCCGCCCACCCTGTCAGGGCCAGGGAATCTGCACAAGCCAGCCTTGATCAGGGCACCGATCAGATGGGTGACATCTGATTGACACCCACAGTGACAAGAATCACATCCCGCAGCAGCTCTGGATAACAGTGAAAGTGTAGCTACTGACAGCCAGCACTGTGCAGGGCCAGCAGGTGGATCACTCAGGATCCCGTGACCCCAGAGTCGGTGCCTTGTGCCTGCTGTCTCTGGGTGGACCCCGACTGCATCCACACGGATCCCCTCCTGCCAGAGGCTTCCCCTTCAAGCTCCTTCTCTCCTAACCTAAGCTCTCCAGGGTGCTCTCCAGGTGCTCTCTCCCCACCCCTGAAGCAGTGCTATGTGATCTGCTGGGCTGTGGGTTAGCGCTCACCATGCCTGCAGTCAACTTCTGAAGTTAAAGGCAGTAATCACTGTCTTTCTCTCTCCATAGAATCACCTTCAGGCAGCAAACTGAAGCCAGCGCTACCGAAGCCAGGCAAAGTACTGCAAGACAGTGACAGCCTCTGTGGATCTTTTCCATGCAACCTTGAAGCCCCATCCTTCTGATTAAGGAAACAATAGCAGTAGTCCCCTCAGCATGCTCAGGATCCTCTGCCTTGATTGACAAGGGAAAGAAGAACAGTTCGAGGTCACGGGCATTGTTGTAATAGCTCCTTAATAAACACTCTCTGCACGCAAAAGTAAAAGATGACTCATGTCTCAACTCTGGTACATGTTCGTGAGCATGCAAAGTATTTCTTATTTGGGGCTGAACAATAATATGAGACAACAAAATCCAGTGTTCTCTGGTGCCCTGGAGGACAATCGTGACAATGATTAAACCTTTCTCCCCTCACTTACTTGGATCTGGAGTGCCTCTCAAAGGCTCAGGTGGTACAGCCTTACTCCCCACCTGGTGCTATTGGGAGGTGGTAACTTTAAGAAGTGGTGCCTAAAAGGGGTTCTTCGGGTCTCTGGGGTGTGCCATTCAAGCAGATGGGGAACCCTGTCTCTCTGTTCTGGCTTTTGCTTCCTAGCAGTCTCGGGAACACTTTGCTTCTCATAACCGTGTACTGCTAACCACAGACTCAAAGACCAGGAGAGAACTTAGGACACAGACTGGGTCCTCTAAGCCTGAGCTTACACAACCTCTTCCCCACTTAAGATGCTTACCTGGTTACACTGATGGAGCTAACACACTCTCCAACTCTAAATGCTTTCTTGTGAATAGAAACCAAACAGAGCCAGGAACCCAAATCCTCCATGTTGGAAATGGAGGAGCACAGTTGAAACACAAACTGTGAGATGGTTCAGAGCAGGGAGAATCCTGATACCACTACACATCATGCATAAAAGGCTTCATGTGTCTTGGGTCATAACTGTAGTCCTAGCCATGTGGCCCTAAATGAAAAGCCAAGTCAGTATTGGCCTGGAGGATATTGTAATTACTGAAATGCCTTATTGCAGGAGGTGTGTGGGGGGGGGTTAGCTAGATGACAGAATCTTATCCCAAGGCTGTGGAGACAGTCATTTGGAGCACTAACGATTTCTAAGTGGCCAGCCTAGTGTACTTACTGTGTTCCAGGCCAATGAGAGACTTTCTCTTTTTTTTTTTTTTTTTTTGGTTTTTCAAGACAAGGTTTCTCTGTGTAGATTTGTGCCTTTTTGGAAATCGCTATGGAGACCAGGCTGGCCCCAAACTCACAGAGATCTGCCTGCCTCTGCCTCCAGAGTGCTGGGATTAAAGGCGTGCGCCACCACCGCCTGGTAAGAGACTTTCTCAAAAGAAAAAATTAATATGCATGAACCGTACCTCAGGAATCACACTCAAGGTTCTCCTCAAACCTAAACACACATGCACACAGTTTATAAGCACCTCATACACACATGTACCTGTACATACATGAACATTCAAACATATATGCACATAAACAAACAAACAGAAAAGGAAAGAAGCAAGTCAATAAAGGTAGACCAGAAACATGGACAAGATGGCCACTTGTAATCTAACTGTCATGTTTACACCAGGCATACCTTTCTACCCTATGCTCAGTGCCTGGGTACTAGGTCTGCTATGAGACCAGACAGAGTAAGTAGAGCTTGGGATTACTTTCAACTAAGGGGTTGAACCCCAGAAAACTGAGGCTTGATTAACTGATTGACCTCAGATCTTTGTCCACATCTAAAGTCTTGATTTCTCCACAGGCCAGTGCCTTTTCTAGCCAATCCCTCTGAGGCAATGAGTTTCATAACCCACCTTCTTTTACTTCAAGATTCCCAGAAACATTCTCCTTGATGTTTGCTGAGTTTTTCTGCTTGTTTTCTTGTAACATATTTACTCTATCATCCTGTGTCTTAGTTACAGATATCATTGTTGTAATGAGACACCATGGCCAAAAGCAACTTGAAGGAGGGTATTTCATTTACACTTCCAGGTAACACTCCCATCACTGAGGGAAGTCAGGACAGGAACTCAAACAGGGCAGTTACCTGGAGTCAGGAGCTGATGCAGAGGCCATGGAGGGGTGCTGCCTACTGGCTTGCTTCCCCTAACTTGCTCAGCCTGCTTTTTTTTTTATAAAATCCAGGACCACCAGCATACAATAGACCAGGCCTTTCCCCATCTATCACTAATTAAGAAAATGCCCTACATGCTTGCATGCATAGTGATTAATGGATGCATTTTCTCAATGGAAGCTCCCTCATTTCTGATGACTCTAGGCTGTGTCAAGTTGACATAAAATTGACCAGCACACCCTGGCTGGCCTCAAATTGATGATCTTCCTGCATCAGCATCCCAAGTGCTGGAGTCACAGGAATGTGCCACCATGCCCAACCTGAAACCGTCCCTAATTCCTCCCTTCCTCTCAGCAACGCTAGCCCTCCCTGCTGCTTCCACCTCCAGGGCATCCACCATCTGTTTCCTTTGCTATCCTAGTTGTCAGAGACCTGTTTCAGTAGTGGGGGGGGTGGTTTTCAGGTCCCAAAGAGGATGTGTAGAGTCGATGGGGGGGAGAAAGGAGATGGACGCGATCTGAGGATGAACTGGGAAGGCTGCCAGCAGCCTTTAACTGAAAAAAAGACACCTTTTATACTGTACAGTTGTACTTAGGATCAAATGGGAGACAAGGGGGCATGTGAGCTGGGGTGTGGCTGAGACCGGGGATTGAGGAATCTAGCTTTGACCTGACAATAAGCACCAGTCATATCTTAATGGAAGGGCCATAATTTCCTCTTGCCAGAGATAAAAATGACTGCTTATGAAAGAGATATCTTGATAGAGGGAGACAATATGGGGTTAGAAAGAAACCTGGTGCTAGAGAAATTCCTAGGAATCCACAAGGATGACCCCAGTTTAGACTACTAGCAATAGTGGAGAGGGTACCTGAACTGGCCTACCCTGGTAATCAGATTGGTGACTACCCTAACTGTCATCATAGAGCTTTTATCCAGTAACTGATGGAAGCAGATGCAGAGATCCACAACCAACCAGCAGGCCGAGCTCTGGGAGTCCAGTCAAAGAGAGAGAAGAGGAATTATATGAGCAAGGGGGAGGCCAAACTTGATGGGGAAGTCTAGAGAACTGAACCAAGCTTGTGCTCCCAAACTTCAGATGATAGCTGTGGAACCTACACAAGACCAGACTAGGCCCTCTGCATATGGGAGAGGTCTGTTTGAGGGGCCCCTGGCGGTGGGATTAGAATCTATTCCTGGTGCATGAGCTGGCTTTCTGGAGCCCATTACCTGTGGTGGGATGCCTTGCTCAGCCTTGATGCAGTGGGGAGGGGCTTGGTCCTGCCTCAACTGAATGTACCAGGCTTTGCTGACTCCCCATGGGAGCCCTTACCCTTTTGGAGAACAGAATGGAGTGTGGGTTGGGAGGAATGGGGGGAGTAGAAGGAGAGATGGGAGGGGGGTCTGTGGTTGATATGTAGAATGAGTGGAAAATTTTCTTAAACAAAAAAAAGAAAGAGAAAGAAAGAAAGGAAGG